ATGTGGGGTCCTTGGGGTCCCCAGCTCTTCCAAGCACCCCGAGCCATGCAGGGCACCCATGGGACACCCCAGCCCGGGGCAGGCAGGGGATGCCGGTGTGGTGCCCTGGGGTGCCCAGCAGTGGGGGGGCACACAGAGGGCTGGGGCCCCCCCGGCGCTCACTGGGGCAGGATCTGGTAGAGCAGAGCCTCAGCCTTGCGCTTCTCCTCCAGGTAGGCTTGGGTTCGCTCCTCCACCAGCTCCTCCAGGTTGTTGGCGTACTGCTCCATGCGTGACAGCAGGTTGTCCAGGATGTTGCTGCTGCTCTCCCTGTGGGCAGGGGGTCAGCACCCACCCGGGGATGCTTTTCGGGGTCACCCGCCCCCCACGGAGCCAGGAGAGGTACCTGTTGAACTTGCGGAGTTGGACCTTGATCTGGTTGAAGTCGGGGCGCTCCAGGACGTCCTCAGCCCAGCAGTGCTGCATCAGCTGGCCCAGCTCCTCCATGTGGCACCCCACATTGGCCGAGGGGCGGAAGCTGGGGCGCTCCCCACTCTTCACCCGCTCAATGATCTCTGCGGGGCCAAGCACCCATCAGTGGGTCCAAGCACCCAACAGTGGTCCAAGCACCCATCAGCAGGGCCAAGCACCCATCAGCAAGGCCAACAACACATCAGCTTGTTCAATAACCCATCTGCAGCTCCAAGCACTCATCACAGCAGGTCCAAGCACCCATCAGTGGGGCCAAGAGCCCATCAGAGCAGGGCCAACAACCCATCAGCGGGGCCAAGCACCCATCACAGTGGATCTATACACCCATCAGCTTGTCCAACCACCCATCAGCAGGGCCAAGCACCCATCAGCTGGTCCAACCAGCCATCAACGGCTCCCTGGCACTGTCACCCCAACCCCAAGACTCACCTTTAGGGCTCAGGTCAAGCCCCTCCACATAGAAGACACCATTGCGCAGGGCGATCTCTTGCAGGATGATGCCGAAGCTGTAAACGTCGCCCTTCTGCGTGCCACGGGCCGGCGGCGACTCCATCCGCAGCAGCTCAGGTGCCGTCCACAGCTTCTCTGTGGCACCAGGGAGGGGGCTCAGGCCGGGCAGGGACCCCGGGCAGGGGCTGCTCTCGGCGTTGGGGGTTGAGGACGGGCGGGGTGCTCACTGGCGAAGAGCGCGTGCGAGTCCTCGCCGTCGGGGACCACGCGGAAGCTCTCCAGCCCGTAGTCGGTGATCTTCAGCACGAAGCGGCTGTCCACCACGCAGTTGGAGGACTTGAGGTTCCCATGGGAGACGATCACCCCGTTGTGCAGGAACTGCATCCCCTGGCAGGGTGGGGAGTGGTGGGACCTAGTTGTCCCCCCCTCCGTGGGAATGGGGGACCCCTGTGGGAACTGGGTGCCCGGTGGGAACCGGCTCGTTACCTTGACGATGTCATGGGTGAGGGAATAGCGGAACATCCAGTCCAGCGTGATGCTCTCGTTCTCCAGGATGTCCTGGGGACACGAGGGTCACATTGCTGTCCCCCCACCATGGGCGGTCCCGGGATGGGGGACAGCATCCATCTCCCTCCCACCCC